ATAATATAATATAATATAATATAATGACTTATTCAGAAATCGTTTAGGTAGACAACAATATTTACTTTCAATCAAGCGACGTTTCGTCCATAGACTAAGGGCTTCTTTAAGGTTATTGAAATGTTAATAAAGGTGAAAATAACCTTCCTATACTGAATATGAGTAGTAATTGTTAACTTAAACCCAAATTACTAACAGTACATATTTTTTTTAATTAAAATTGTACAGTTGATTTAATTTATTTTAAAAATAAAACTTAAAAAAGACACGACATACTAAAATTAATGAAGATGAGATGATAATAATACGCTCAATTTATTATAATACGTCGATATTATATATAAGAAGGCAGCATGTAAGTCTCCAACTTTATTAACATTTTAATTACGTTGAAGAATCCCTTCACCAATGGACAAAACGTCGGTTTATTGAAAAGAAACATTATTTTTTACCTGATTGAGTTCTGCAGTCATTTCATCGATAAAACATTAGGGAGTATCTATTAAATCGGAATAAATTAAATAAGTAGTAATAAAACATTAGTAATAAATAATTACAGTCCTTACCTATTTGTCCATTTATTCCTACAATTACTGTTATAAACAGTAAGTGTTCAAGACTAAAACCATTCATTCTAATAATATCGTTAATAAATGTATTGTAGATATTATTTATTGCACATCATGCGTTATAATAATATTAGTAACACAAATTCGCGCCTTCTGCGAAATCACTGTTGATGTCGGTTTAACATTCATACTTCAACCTTCATGCTTGAGTGTTTAGCTGAAACTGATTTAAGTCTCTGTTTACTCAAACAAGTTTTTTTTTTTTGGAAACTCCGCTATTTCTAGACACTTTTATGTATGTACCTATCCAATAATTAATAATACAGTTGCGTCAATGTTACATCATTAAAATGCCAGAAAAAGTATTAATAAGTCATTTTATTTAGGAAACGGAATTGGTAAGAATATTTTGATTGAATGCTAGAGGTAATTAATTAATAGATATCTACAGACGTCAAATTTGAAAAAGTTTTTTTAAATTGAACATAATGGTTCTTTACAGAAATACAGAATTAGATGACAATTTATGAAATAATTAATCTCATGAAATAAAAATGGTTCTGTTAAATACACTGTACATATTTATTACCGGGATAAGGGTTAAGGAATTGGTTTAATGGTAATATTTGTACACTATGAATTTAAATTTTACACTATACATGCCGGAGTTGCCTGTAACGAACGTTGCATTTAAGCGCGCTCACGGCTCAAGCGATCCCCACTACGAACTCGAGTACGTGGCCGAGTAGAGGGGGGACATCCGTTGCATGATTTCGTTACATAGCAAGTCGCGTGAAACAAACTTACCTTACCGTGCGTAAAAAAGTTTCACTTCAATATTTGCATATTTTAGTCTTGAGGGTTGTCTAACTACCTGTCAAATCACCATCTTTTGTCAATTAGAAGCTCACTGAAATGATTTTTTCCAAAACATTACCATTTTAAATCAAATTTCTGACCTAAAGAAAATTACACTGTGAAATAGACTTTCCGACTTTTTACGCAACAATGAATTCTCAACCGAAAAGACATCTTCCGTAATATCGTCAAAATCCTTGAAGTCTTCAAGAAATAAGTTACTCCTGGGTGGTCACTCAGAATATTACGATTTAAATAAAAAAATATGTTTGAAAAATTTAATGTGGGAAAGCTGTTAAAAATTAGCAATTATTGTTAAAAATTATGTGAAAAAAGTTAGTTAGTAGGTAGTACACAGAAAAACACTTTTGATGAAGAAGATGATTAGTTGTACTTTAACTTTCGATTACATTGTAATTATGTTTTTTAATTGAACATTGAAAAAAAGTAGTTTTGTTCACTTTTTTAGAAATAGTAGATATGTGAGTAAAAACGCCACAGTAATTTATTCAAGTTTCACGAAGCAATTGGTAGCATAGTAATAAATAGGAGACACACTCTAGACACTAATTAAATAGAGAGAAAGATATACAAATTTTAGCAGTGTTCGTTACCTGCGACTAGCCGAAAAAGATAAAGGTACCTATCTTTCCCTTCCTATTGGTAGGTATACGTATATAGTAGATTTATTGTTCTAGTAAAAAAAGTAACAAATTTACAATTTTGACTTTATAATTCAAAGCCGGCAAAATTAAACTGATGCGACAAAAATACAAATAATTATAGTACTGTGGAGCTTTACTTAATCAATAGGCATTGAAGAACCCTAAAATTGTACAAAACGATTAACAATGTGATACTTGTATTGGCACTCAGGGTGTAATCTTCAGTGCGGTGGAATTTGACGTTGACATCAACTTCATTGTTTTAAATGGAACACCCTGTATATTACGACGACATTGAATTCTACTTACAATTTTAGGCAGATTTTCATAAAGCTTTCTTACTTCTAAAATTTGTCGTTTTCCAGATATTAACTTATTTTAAAAAAGTAGCACAGAACAGTAGATAGCAAAAAAGTAAGAAAACTGGAGCAACATTATTCTCAGGAAGGATAGTTATACCCTCAAGCATCCCTTTCATACTTTCGAAGTAGATTAATTACATACAGGATGTATTTTCATAGCCTTATACTTACAGAATTTTATTGTCTTTCGAATGGCATTAAGATTCCCTATACACATCTTCTTTAGTTTTCAAATTATTTACTGTTCTTTGTAAATACAACTAAAATCGTTTATTTTTTTAAGACACTAAGACTTTTTTGTCGCACTCATTTAAAATATTTACTTGCGTCAAGGAATTAATTACAACCGTTTTATTCGTCTGGCGTTTTACAAGTATTTTTAATATTAATTAACAAGCATGTTATCAAAATTTTAGAATGTCTAAAATATACTTTTTGCGTAAAATACAAAAATATATTCGGGAGTCTGGTCATACTAGACATGAAGATCTAGTCAGAGACATATCAGAGACAGAAACAAGAGTTAAGAGGGGTAGAGGTAGACATAGATTAGATTGCTGTTCGCAAATAGTTAAGGATGTGGGATGTTCGAGTTTTAAGGAAATGCAAAGATTAGCTCAGAATAGCAAAGAGTGGAGGTGCGTGTCCAACCAGTTTTAGGACTGACGGCCTTATGATAATGATGATGATGATGAAGCTAGTCATTTAAATGACATTTACTGGCGGGCTAGTGATTACGATATCAAAATTTAAGTTCTTAAAAATTAATAAGACATTTGTTTTGCTGTACTGGTGTATTGACTAACTGTAATATAATCAGTAACTATCATAAGCCAGTGACCTACATAATTCGACCCATTTTTAGAATGAAATGGAAATAATTCAGTAACGATTCAATTCAAAATTCAATAAAAGCAAAACAAAGATATGAGTAAACCAAGGAAGTAAAAGTAAGAGTAGAGCTAATATAAAAACTGGAAACGATAAACTAGAAGGGGCTTCTGGTTTTCAATATCTAGGAGGTCAGATGTCAAGATGAGAAAAGTGGTAAAGATATACAGCAACAAGAAGAAATCACATCTGTACTCGTGAACGATTAGTTTGGAAATTTGAAAAGGATTATGAAAATCGTATATTTTGAGCTCGGCTTTGTAAGGTTCGAAACGTTAACGAAAAATTTCGGAAGCATTTGCAAATGTGGTGTATGATGAAAATGCCGTGGGCAAAAAAGCCTACCATTGCGGACGTATAAAATAAATTCAACAACAGAGGACGTTATGAAGATGAATGAGTAAAAAAAGGAATAAAAAGAACGGATACCTTTTGACCCATGATGGACTAATTAGAGGCATAATAGAAACAGAAACAGGAATAAAGAGTGTCAGAAGATGAGCTAGATTAGATTACTCTTCGCAAATACCTACAAGTTATAATATAGTTTTCAGGAGATGCTAAGATTGGATCAGGAGTGGAGATACGTGAACAACTAGTCTTCAGTATAAAATTATAATTATAAAACAAACAACGTATAGTAACATAAATTATTGAGAATTCCACACGATTCCTTCTAGCCAGTCGACGTAATTGGAAACCCTGGTATATACTGCAGGTACATTTACATGTCCGCATCCTTTCCCCAGAGATGTTATGCCAATTATTTCATACATGCAATAAAAGTCTCTACTGCCTATTTGTAGTGGTCTTCCAGAGTCACCCTATAATATAAAAAATTAATATGTAATTGTAATACGTGATAATTAAATTATATACTAATTAAAAGTTGAAAACATTTCACTAACAACAGTAAAAAAGGCTTCTAATGAAATGAAATGAAATCATAATCTTAATTTTAAAATAGACTTCAAAATAAGGAGGTTCTCAATTCAACTACAATTTTTTTTTGGGGATGTTACCTAATTTCTTCGTCAATTGTGAATCTATTTTAATCATTTTTTTTTACTGGATACGTTATATTTCAAGGGTGGACCTGTTTAAATTGTAAAAAATATTTCATCTATAAGAGTGGAAAATTGAAGGATGATAAATAACTAGTTGAAGAAATTACGCATCCTTGTCATTTCCTTATTACCTTTCTAATTGTTTAGGCTACCAGCATCTCAAATGTGATCCTATTTGAATTTGTTAACCTTTAAATTTGTGCATATAGGTAGTGTAAGTATTGATGTTCGTTTTTATATATCAACTAGCGGACCCGACAGACGGTGTCCTGTACACACGTCTTAGATACAAAAATTTCAAACTTTTTTAAATAATATGTAACAATCTGGACCGTTTTGAGGAAAATTTTTAATAATAACTTATTACAAAATACGACTAATCGATAGCGTGTGTATACTATAAGCGAAGTTAAATGTCGAGGCTGTGTTAAATAAAAACTCAAACTTGTTTTAATTAAAGATTGAAAAGCTGAAACTTAAACTATTTTATAACAGGTATATTTGTACAAAAACATAATTTATCGTAATATTATTGGATGTACAATATTTTTAGTTAATCGATGGTTTTCCAATCCTGGAACACGCAACATTTAACTGGCCGTGATAAAAGCACGGATTTTCCACATCTAAGTCACAAATCGTCATTGTTTGACCTTGTGACTTATTAATAGTCATAGTAAATGCCAAGCGGATTGGAAATTGTAAACGTTGAATGGTATAGGTGAATCTGAAGGAATCACTGGGATCCGTGGTAGAAGTAAAACTTCGTCATGAAATTACCCACTCAAAATAGTGACTTCAAGAATGTTGCCCATGATTTTATTTATGAGCAATCGCGTGTCATTACACAATTTTGGCGCATTCAAATTTTAAAGCAAAATTGTAGGTGAGCCAATCTTCAATCGTGTTGTTAGTTATGTGGTGGCATTCCAGGTAAATCCAGTAAGTTTAAAAACTATATAGGATAGTTGACAACTTCATCAGGATCAATAACAGTGTCAATCGATTTGAATGCAATTTCATTACCAGGCAATGACTGTTGTATTTTGAAATTGATGGGCCAACATCTCAATTTTTTGTGGCTAAAATAGCTCGCTTACGTAACCATGCATGGTTGTATGATATTGTAATGTTCGTGGGTTTAACAAAATTAACTTCTAAAACTGATAACGAGAAAAACTATTTATTTACACTATTAAATTATTACTAAACTTAGGTTATGAATTATTCTATTTATTTACACTACTGTTGATATATCACTATTCACTGGGCTATTTATTTCACTGCTATCACTGTCAATTTATTCCTTGATTCACTTCTGCAACGGTCAATTTATTTCTACTCTTCTCGGTGATCGTCTCTTCCTTTAAACACTCTTTTGTTTCCTCTCTGGAACCCTCTAGAAACATCCGGATAGATTCTATTTTCTTTGAACTGTTTAACTGCTTTCCCAAAACGCAGGTACGACACATTCATTTACAAATACGGCGGACATGAAGAAAGTGCCAGCGGCTAGTCGGCGAATCGATAAGCCGTTCACGCACACGTGTTCCTGATCGCACACCAACACACTCGTGCTTGTTACAATATCTTTCAGGGACCTGTCGAGAGCTTCAAGAAAATGCTTGTGGACCATTGTGCATTCATCCCAGATAATAATTTTCCATTTTCTCAAAACTTCAGCCATGCCTGAATGTTTCTTTATGTTACACATTGCGTCGAGATTTGTATGGATATTCAAAGGTAATTTAAATGCCGAATGCGCAGTCGGTCCACCATCAAGTAAGGTTGCTGCAATGCCTGATTAAGCAAAGTCTTACCAGTGCCACCTGGTGCATTAAAAATTGTCGTGCTGCAGTTGATAGATGTATTATAAATTTGAAATGTTGTTATAGCCTGTAGTATACGTGTAGTGATCTGCATTAGATACGAACAAACAAATTCGAAGTGGCCAGTGTTCTGTCGAAACTGCCAAACGCGGATCGCGATTTTAATCTTTTTGGATCTCATCAGCGCGTCGCAGACAATTTCGACAGAACACAGACCAATGTTTACTTGCTGTCTTAACAGCGCGTTTTATAAAATACCACAAATGGCGCGGTAAACGCCATCTGTAGTGCAATGCTACATTTAGTAGAATTCATTATGCTCAACAAGGTCCATTTAAATAGATGGATATCTACTTGCTTAACCGAATCCACGGCGTAGCTCACTACCACGTGATAGGCACGTTACCAAAATCGAACAAACATCGAAATCGATGTGTATTAAATCAATAAAAGTGTTATATGTTTATTGAATCCTTCATATAATATGGAAAAATACATCAAGATGCATATAATGACTGAATGCAACTTTGGAAAATTTCGGTAGGCGTGAGTATGCGACTGTGGATTGACCGATAAGGAATGCGTGGTCCTGAAGACATGAAGATCACGCGTAATCGTTTTGTTTTGTTTTGGTCCATCTTGAAAGTGAGTACAGTATAAACTAATGTAGTAATTAAATATTTCATAATAATCACTTTGTCTAAATGAGGTAAATATTATACCTTAATAAAGAGTATCATTATAAACTAGTATTGTTTTAATTTTTTTTTCTGAATTTACCTTGCAAGTATCCTTGGCTTCAGTACGTGAACCCCAGCAAGTTTGTGTTTTATCATCAATGCCTAATTGTGCGAAAGTTTTAATGCACGTTTCGTGTGAAAATGCCTCTAACGTAACTTTCATGAGTTCGTTACTAATTTTCCTAGAAAATTCGGTGTAGCCCCAGCCTGTAGCAATCGCTTTATCGCTACTTATTTCTGAACTTGTATAAAGACAAGCTGGTCGGACATATTTATTTAAAGTTGCTGGTCTGTCCAATTTTAATAAGGCAATGTCGTGTTGCACTGAGGGTAGCGAATAATTAGGGTGTTGGATGCGTTTGATTATGTCGAAATTTTGTGGTTGAGCATCTTCGTTACTTTTTCCAATGTTCAGGTCACCCAAACGAATGTATTTAGCATCACTAAAAGAAATTAGAATAATATTAATTATGAATAAGTTTTTTTCATGTTTTCGGAATCCATAGTATTTTTAACAAAATGGGACAACAATACTATAACATGAGTAGGTAAATACAGTAAGGGAAAGCCGCCTAATTTTGGATATTACTTAATTGCAAAATCCGTTGTAATTAAAAACCATGAAATAAATGATCTTTAATTAAAATTATTCACATAATTTTTTGGAGCGCGGCACTGTACAGATGCGAACATGGTAGGCGCGACGGAAAAGAAAAGGTTAGAAGCGTTTGAAATGAGGTGTTACAGGCGAATGATGAGGATACCGTGGATAGAGAAGATCGCAATTTGAATGGGGAATGTTTTTAAAATTATTTCAAGACGCTACTGATGCGGCTTTGACTGAAATTATATTGTAAGGCAGTATTTGGATCAGTTCGATGAACTGGAAGGAGAGAAGCTATAGTAAGATTTGCGGCAATCGATAGAGTTAACGTCAAGTTTCTCCACAAATATTCCAAAATGTGTGGCAGCGTTTTAAGAAAACCCTGTATGAAGGCATTCTGAACATTTAATAAATCAATGTGTAACTTCTTTAGTATTTCGTATGCTTTTAACATGCATTTGAATTTAACTGCTGAAAAGAACCTTGACGTATCCGAAATTTCAAAAATGACCTACCAAAAAGGCCTTCCAACAATACCTAACTCAACCTCCCTTGCTGAATATGGAAATAAGTACAGATCAGTAAGTGTAAGTCAAATACTAATTAATTTAAACAGTGCCTCACTTACGAATGTCCATCCGTAAGGCAATGGGCTGCTGTCAAGATGTACCGTTCGCTAATTAAGCTGCCTCCACATTTCCATACTTTCTCTCCGTCTTCATCAAAACCGATTAATGCCTAAAATTAAGTAACTTTAACAATTTCTTGTATGTGCTTTAAATAACAGAGACAATGTTCAACATCTGCTGTAATGGTAGTATCATAACATACCAAATAAAATTGAAAATAATAACCAACTACAAAATACAGCAAAATCAAAAAAAATTATTGTGTCTTATTCACACCAGCTGATGGCGAGAGTGTTGTCTCACCGACACACGCTGTGGTGCACAGTTGTGGGTGAGAATGCGCAGGTGGTTGTGGTTAGAGGAAGATACACAAGAAGAAGACAAGAAGGAGATAAAGGAAGAATGAAATCTGTAAAGTAATCACTACCCCAGAATTTGCCCATAAGATTCAGTAAAAACAAACGCCTGAAATTTTTAAAGACCTTTTGTTTCTTTAACATGGCAATTTCCACCTTCTGGTCTTTAGACCCCGTAAACGACGGATTGAGATACGCTCAACCACTCTTTTTGTGTGAGCGGGGCATATCTACTCTCTACGATCTCTGCAGCAACTTGCTCACCCGAAGGGAATACACACCCTTGTGAGTTGAACCATTAAGACTAAGAGTACTATATTACTCAGGTCAGGCCAGTAGATAACCATATACTGGGGGTTCTTGGACATTCGTAAAATCAGTTGACATCAGTGGTTGGATCTTCGGGGGCAACTAGGTATTTCAACCTTTCGGATTAAGATTCCTTGCAACTCCTGCTGCTTGTTTAGTATTAGAATTCGGACCTAAACACCGTTATCGTCTAGACTATATGTGGGGTCGTTAAGCCTAAACCGTCACTGTGACCCTTGTGTTACTATGGAAAGCTATGATCTAATTAATTCCCGCCAGTTACTAGGGCTGATGAGTCGTTTCGATTCACACATCAGTGCAAGAGGATAGAGATATGTGGGATGATGTAACAGGTGGTTGAAAGAGACAGATGAGTCGGATGGAACTAACAATAATAAGTCAAAACAGAAATGATAGATTATCTGCGGAATATTATTGCTTTAGCATTTGCCGAAATGATCCAAGGTAACTATGGATAAAACCCAGATCAGGGCAGATTAAGCCGGAATCGAACCGAACTCGTCCAGCGTTCTAAGCAATTGTTTAACTGACAGATAACGCTGCTTTGAAAGACGTACACATAATTACAGAATGGCAGTAAGTAAATTGTCATTTGCTAAGAATTGTTGAAACTTCCAACCGTGAACTTATTAGTTCTCATCGGTACTCCACCGCAGCTGTAACCAAGAGCTTCGGTTTGACCATTATTTCAAAATTACTATGACGTGCTAATGAGAACTTGAAAATTCGATGCTTATTTTGATACACGTCCAATAGTTTTAGTAAAATTCTAACCAGCAAGACATTTTTGTTCTTATCTAAATTGTTACTCCTTCTTGCAGAGTCTGGATTGGTTATCCCTTTTCACCGTAGAAAAAAAATCTCATTCGTGTTAATGGAACTATTCTGGACGTTTACTTTTTGTTTATTAGCTTACCATATGTGGAAATTCTCTTGGAGCTGCTTTCTCACCACCTACGATTAATTCTAGTGCTTTTACAGCGCACGTATCCGCTTTCACTTTGCTGTTTGTTACGAGTACAAATGAATATTGTTCTTCAAAAACATACTTCGAATATTCTTTGCATTCTAAAACAAAGAACATTTTAATGTTTTACGTATGTAAGACTTTTTGGTGGAAGTAATACTGTTAATTAAATATTTAACCTACTTTGTTTACTTTTTGACTCAGCTACATTTGCTTTATATGTAATATTTGTTTCTGAAAAGGATGATGTAGTCGAATTGGCCACTTCTGAGTTGGGAGTAATTGTTTCGTCAGGAGTGGTAGCCAAGGGTGTTAGGCTTGACTTTTGGGAGCAGCAAACAATTAATAATGTCCCTTGAAAACCGCAAATCTGTGGAAAAATTTCTTTTTCCTGAATATCCTCTAAAGCTGTCAAACAGTTGCTTAGTAAAAGGCATTTTCCTATTTGACCACTAGTGTTCAGTATACAAGGATCATCTAAAATATATAAATCAAATGTTGATATACTATTGTTACCAATAAGATACTAATAAAATAATTCGTAGTTAAATTCCAGAATTCCGGAGTAGATTCATCAGATGACGAAACACAATGGCAAATATAAGGAGTTTTAGGTAAATCTTACTAGCTACTAGCGCGCATCATTATCCACAAATGTTAATTCTAATTGTTTATAATAAATACAATTTTTAGCCAATAAGAAATTAAAGAAAATACCCCAGATTGTTCCTTACTACCTTTTCATTACGTTTGTAAAACCGTTCCGAAGAGTAGCCCATAGGTGCAGTCAATCCTTTCAAGTAATAAAACGTAATCGCTAAATAATTAAAATATATTTACTCTATTCCATTTCTACTTAAAATCTAATTTAGATATATTAGAATATAATTAGTACACCTAATATATTGATATATAAGATATACATAAAGTATTCTAATTAATAATGTTTTGATTACACGAACTA